ATAACCAAACCTTCCCCGTAAACTCTCATCTGGTAAGACGTATTTCGAAACAGGACCACGGGTGGCGAGTTTCTCTATGTTACTGTTTATGTCCTCTACATACTCTTGCAGCTTCTTCATCACTTCCTTGACGCTGCAAAACAAGGAAACCATTAAAGTGTGTCTAAATGCATAGAAAGGCATTAGAACGAAGTGAGAAGAGACTTACTCATAGAAAGGAGTCAACCTGAAACCAAAAGAACAGAGAAGAAGTAAGAATACAGATGAGACATCTCGGTTCTACGGTATTTACAACTTTAGAAACATAACCTGACATCACCGGAAACGGTACATTCTCCAGGGATTTGGTTGATTCCGCCTCCTGGATCTGCAAAAACCAGACAAATCCTTTGGAGTAAGCACACAACATTTGGAGCCATTACTCATACAGACACTAAGCTTTAAATTCCAAAAACTCACAACTCCATTGTGTTGGCTTCATGGTGGATGGTGTTGCAAAACCATAAACTTTCTCCTGTGGGTGAGGCGGAAAGTCTCTGTAGAACCGTGATTGGATTTCCTTAAGCCCTTCCATTCCTAACTCCAACGCGTTAATCGCCTGCGCGTATAAACAGAGGAAAAAATATCAATACCGAGCTTGCAGCTTCATCAATTCGAGAAATCATTCATACACAATACCATACCTTGTGAGCTAAACCACTGTGGAAAAGCTTTCCGGTAACATGAAGCTTCCACGGAATCATACCTCCGGTTCCAATACACGGCTGCTTATCAGCAGTATCAATCCAAAACCTTCAAAAGAACACACATCAAAAAGAGCTACATTCATCCTCCAATGTTTTATTTGAAAACCCATCCCCAAAGAAGATTATACAAAGATAGGAAACTAACAAGGGTCCGGATTTGAGCTTATCAAGAAGTTTGTCTTTAACAAGCATGTCCACACCAACACCAGGAATCGAAGAGTTCTCTTCGCTGGCGATGAAAACCGCCACCACCGATGATTTCAAAGCTGGTTTAGTCTCCCCAAGCCTCTTCATAAGCTCGGTCACAAGAGCAACGTGACCAAGACAATCTGTAGTCCCACGACCACGAAGCTTATCACCATCTATGCTTAGCGAGAAAGGATCAAATTCCTATGAAACAAACACCAAATTACAGACCCATGAACCAAAGTATTATTCTTTGTGATAAATATTTGAAATTTGGAACAAATCGAATCAGTTCTTCGGAAACTAAGCAGAACCCAATTCCAAAACTTTCCCTACCTCTAATGGGCACCGATTAAAAAAACCATGAAAAATGGAATTCATAAGAAAATTACCCATTCGTCGGGATTCGCGGTGACGACGTCCATATGCATTCCGACGAAAGACAGGATCTTTCCGGGGACAGAACCTGGGTACTCGACGATGAGATTGCCCCTTCCTGAGTGATACGCAACATGGTTGATCACCAGACGACCACCACCAGTTTCGGTGCTGTACGGACGGAGAGAATCGAGGACGTGATTCACGATTCGATCCTCTTGCGGGATTAGCTCCGGCGGGTTGTTCTGTACGAACTTGGATTCGCCGATGAGTTTCGATAGAAGAGAGACGAATGAGTCTTTGTTAAGAGAGCCTATGGATTCGATCATTGCGTTCGAAGAAGACGACGACGACATAGTTACACACACCAGAGAGAATGTTTTTTTTCGTTTTGCTTTGCTAAAACAAATAAAGCTTCGGTTTTTAGCTTGTTGTGTGAGCCTTGCGGCGAAATCGTGTTGTGTTGTTTAAGGTTTTCTTTTTACCTTTTGGGTTGAGTGTTACGTTTTTTAATCATTAGTTAAACTAAAATTTAATAACGAGGTAAATAAATTAATCAGCATGTTTAGCTAGAAGGCGTGGAAAGGGGAAAATAGTAACAAATACTCAAGTTCGCATTTTTATCAGAAATATATTATAAATTTAGACTCTTAAGATCATGTAGCCAAAAAAAAGGGATCATGTAGCCTAGTGCCTTTCGATTGGTGTTGTCACTGCGTAACACCATTAAGATTTGAACCAACATAATTAGATTGCGATTTTGCACACTTTGGAGGGAAAGATCGATGAAACCGAATACGACGAAGCTTATTCGATCCACAATAGAATAGAAAGATGCTCTACTGTAAGAAAAATTATCCACATTTGAAAAGTGTACGTCGTTTAGTGAGCATTGTGTGTTCGTGGTAACTTTTATTCATGTTAGAGTTCATAAGTGGTAATTTGTTAAGTAAGGACCATTATTACAACATAAAGGCCAGTGTTGTAAGGCTTGCATTTCATCCAGTCATTTACAAGGCCCCACGAGACAGTGAAGGTAAGATGACTAATTCTGGCCATTACACAACTGGCCGATATGTAAATGCATTCGAAGAGGGGAAAACTCTATCATAAATTGTTGTTTCTCTAAGAGGAGAAAAATCTGATAAAGGATGCTTAAGGATGGAACTTCGGATCAGCTTCTCTGCCACAAAATTGAAATGAGAGGAGCGAAACAAAGAGGCTAACCTGGAACTCAGACCTTGCATGAGGGATTCACCAATTTGTTGGACTATGTGCATTCAACATGATCGAGAAACTTTTCATTCAAGGCGGTCTCTTTTTCTACATAAAAACAAATTAGTATTCAATTAAGAACATTTTAACCAATGATGTAAGATAATCTAAATTACAAATTTTCATAAATACTAAATTAATGTAATTTTTTGCATAAAAACTTGAAAACATAAAACAATAAACTTCTGAAACATCTTATAGAAAATTAAAAAACAGAGTGTGTAAAATTCTCATAAGATATTTATATTTATATTTATTATTTCAAACTGTAAATGAGTCATATAATTCACCCTTGTCAAAAATTGGAAACTAAAGTTTTTTTCTGTTTAAGAAAACAAAGGTGAAAAAGACAATGGCTGATTGAATATGGGGATTCGAACCTTAGCTCAGCAGAAGAAGACAGTGTAATGAAAGAACCCTATCTCACTGATTCAATGGACTGTTCCTCACACATCGCAAATCCCTAAGTCCCTCTTTAATTTTATTTGGTCTTAGCATCAACCATTTGTAATTTATTTGCATACCAACAAATTCATATCTCAGTTTTGCTTTTTAACACGAATCTTGGTCGGTATATTTCTGCCCTATTTGATTGACTTGCTTCATCTTCAAAGTAAAAAGCAAGTAAAATTTACATTTTCTTTTTCTAAAACCCCAATGAGGTGTTATATAGATGAACCTAATAGTAAAGTTTTAAAACGAAAAAACAAAAAAAAATTGGGTAAGTATTAAAATTTAGAACTGAATTTGATCAAATATCCTCCTACGTTGTGTAAAAAAGTTTTAGGCCTAAACCTGTTGTCCCCCAATTCCAGAAACACTCAATAATAATACTTTTATTGAATGTAAACCTTCCCTCTCCAAAGATCGAACTAGCGGGATGAGATTACATTGGCTTGGCTTTGTGAATTGTGATACATATATAATCATTGATTGGTCTAAATTTTTATAAGTCATAAATTAAAAACCCACATGTCATGTCGAATATATATCTATAAAATAAAGAATATGTATATGATGCGATGTGGTGAGGAAGAGGGGACCAAAAGTAGAAGAAACAACATAACTCTAATTGCCTAGTTCGAAAAGTTTTTGAATTTCCACATGTGAGGGTCCAAGACAAGATAATGTCAAATTCTATTCATGATTATTTATTTGTTTTACAATTTATGGTAGTCTGGTCGTACTAAAATTCGGGTTATAATTTTTTATAAAGATTATACTATATTAAATCAGAAAAAAAAATATGAAAGGAATTGAAGAAAAAAAATTGATGTGGAGACAGAAATAGATCTGAGTAAGAAGAAACATGCAACGAATTAAAAGGAACTCACATGCCTTCCCTATCTCTTCTTCCACTCCAAGTGGTCCTCAAATCTTCTCCCATATTTTGATTCCTATTGCCTTTACCCTAATTCATATCCAAAGTTTCGCTGTTCTACGTCTCATTTTTAATTAGATCGAATTGAAAGTATGTAATTTCGAGATATACTTGCAAGCACGCACGATGTTAAAAAAAATGGATACCTATAACCATAGGCACATAGTAGAATGTAACATCACCTTTTTTTTTAAAACGTCGCAGTTTATATATGGAAAAGGATGCTTAGATTTTAAAAGAACTTATTCAATCAAGTTTTTGAATTGATGCCTATTTATTAACTTCGTTGTTGTTATTCAGTCATAAAGTATATTAAAAATGAATCGTAGACTAAGTCCAGCTAATTAAGAAGGTAAAGTTATAAGGTCCCATATCAATTAACCTTTTATATATAGTTAAATACTTAATCAAATATTAAAATTAATAATGTAAGAAGGTAAAGTCATAAGGTCTCATGGATCATATATATGACATTCCACAGATGAAGAAACAAAAGTCTTTCAATATATATCCCGCCTTCGTTCCAATACTCTCCAAAACCCTAAAGATATAGAAATAGTAAGGAACAAAAATTCTTCGTCAAATTTAAGCAAAACAATTATTGGCATACTTCACTATACATCTGTTTAAGGACGCTTTTTATATAATTGGAAATTTTGAGCACTCTTCGGCTCTTCGTTTTGTTTTGGATAAATTATTGATAATATAACATAACTTGTCCATATCAAATGGAAATTTGAAGTCAAAAACAAATACGTACGTAATCCTTATTTTTTCCAAGAAAATCCATTCTAAACCAAATAGTGGATCAAAACAACAAGATATATATACCAATCAATACATTCAAGATATATATGAAATTGCTGAGAAGAAGATTTTTGTTTATAGAAAATCATATAATGGAGGGCTCATTATTTGTTAATTTAACCAATGAAATTAAGTAACCATATAGTCTATTATCTCTATGTAAATTTATAAACGCACATAATATATGCGAAAGCATTCACCAAACAAAAACAAAGCAAGGAAGCAAACCATAAAATCGAATGAATATAATTGTGATACACAATTCAAGCCAAAGCTGATTCAGAATTTAACAACAACATGTAAAGATTAATTAAAGAACCTGTATGAATAGATATGAATGTGAAATGGCTCAAGTGAATCATGAAAATGAAATGTCACGGTGGATAGTGCCCTAGTCGAAGTTCAAGATCAGGCTCATCCACTGATGCCCCTGTCGTCTCTTTCATCGAGCCAATGCTCTCATCGTCTCCTGTCGAATATTCTATAAGCCGAGGAGGAACCTCTACGGGCGAATTCAACACCGAAAACGCAAGGTTGCTCGAAGGAATCGACGTCGCACCATAGAAATTCACCATATCACTGGAATTACCAAACATGCCATTAGGGTTTTGCAATTGGTAGAAATGGGACAAACCTTCAATGTTAGTCGCCGTGGATTGTATTATAAGCGTCGTCGTTGGCGGAACACAAGAGTTGAGTAACGTCGTGCCACCCACTGTGCCGCCTCCTCTAGCCGCAGCGGTGTGACTCTGATGAGCCCTAGATGAGGCGCGGTCACGGCGGTGGACATTCATGTGTCCGCCTAAGGCTTGAGCAGAACGGAACTCACGGCGGCAGAAATTGCAAGTGTAAGATCTTGGAGGCCAAGTGGTACCAGAGATATTGCCTTTAGTGTCTTGCTCGAAGGCTTTCACTTCCCAAGATTCATCATCATCCTCCATTAATTCTTCAACTTTGTTAGGGTTCCACATCCATGCACCACCGTTCATTCAAGGATGAGTTTTTTTCCTTTTAAAAAGGAGAAAATCGCAGTAAAGAAGATGAAGAATAAGAAGAAGATGGGGTTGATGGATAATGATGTAAATAATAAATCTAGAGATGGACCCGAAATATATATAGGATGTGTCATTTTCAGTAAATGAGAAAAAAAAAATACCATTTCAAATTGTACTGAGATATAAGAGGATGAAAATTTTGATTATCACTTTAAATTTCAAGATTTGCAACATATGCTTTTTTTATTCATTGCAGAAATACTACTTCGCAACTATATGTGTTGTACATGTATATTTAGCTACTTTTGGAGATTTACATTACAACTTTAGATCTTATGTTTAACCATATGCTTTTAATGTGTACACCTTCTAAATTCATTGCCAGTTTGCCGTTTTGTAATTAAAAGATATGAAGTCCCAGATTGCTATGCATTTAACATAGGAAGCTCAATTCTTAAAAAAAAAACAAGTGTAAATAATACATATATAAATAGGTGAAGATTTAAAGAGAAAAAAAGTTAGTTGTGACTTTGATGTCCTATGTAAGGTTAAGACAAAGTTTGTTTGCTTTAAATGGTGAGGCAAAGATCTTAGCTTTGCGTGATCACTACTAAGATTCTCTTGTTAGAATCTGACAAATGACTTGTGTAGCTTTACGCTGTCACATTATCACCATATATTTTAGATAATAATCCTACATATGGTGACCTACAAGTCGAGATATATATCATAAAACTATCTACATATTACACATGTATGGTAGTATATGAATTTTCTGTAATTATTTATTTTCCTACGTAGAAAATGAAATAATTTTTCTTAGGCCAGAAGAGAACTTTATATAATTTAAATTTTGAAATTCCGGAACTAAAACAAAAACAAAAATAAAACAGAAGAGCTGAAAGTGATGGGCCTTAATGTCCGAAAGATATTTGCCATATAAAGTATAGTTGTGAATTTAGTTAGATTTCAACTAGATCACTCTTTCGTTGGACCATTTGTATCGCATTTGTTTTGTCAATTTCTACAATTTACAAAAATTATTATATAAGGAAAAAAAGCTACTTATTTTCCTTGGAAAAAAAAATAATAAATAAGATATGTCGGCCCAAATAAAAGCTCATTGTGGATACCTGCGTTTGCTTTAAATGGGCCTTTAAACAATAGTTTAGTCCTAGCTAAACTATTTTTGAAGAACCATTTGTTGAAGTAAAGCTTTACTTTTTTTTTGTTATCATTGCGAAATACTTTTATTACATATGTAATATTTATGTTATTTTTCCTGAAATCAAATCCTTTCTGTAATATAATATATTTTGGGTCTGTAATATTATAATTTCTATTATATTGTGGTGCATGTAGATAGGCTTATATAGTTTGATTTGGCTACTATATCACCAAAATGTATTATCTTTTAAAAAACTTCATAATTAAGTGTTTTGATTTTAATCAATTTAAAAGATGAATGAATTCCAAACAAGAAGTGATTTCTGGTATCGTGTTAATCATGAGATCAAAGCATGAAAAATATTACATAATAATTTCCAGGGATAGTAAACAAAAATTTTGAGCTTCCCAAAATGGCTCACGGCCAACGATTGGAGCGTTACAGTGTCAAACAGTTTCACAAAATACAAATCATAGTCGTCAATGATAGAAATATTTTATAAGAATACAAATATATTCACCACATATATTCACCAGCAGCTAACAACATTTTTTTATAACTTTAAATATAATCGTAAGATAGTCATTTCAAAATCATCATAACTAAGAGTAAATATTTTCCAACTATACCAAACAAACATCAGACGCGACGACCGGTCTACAGGTTGTATAAAAACTTCCATAATTGGTATCGTCGATTTAAATGAATGTACCAATGTTCGTACATACGTGTATATATGAATTTTTCTTATATAAATATATTTGAAGACAAGAATAAAGGAAAGATAGATTAAGGGAGAAGCAAAGGATGACGTTTTGACAGCGAAGCTTTTGGAGCAAAGAGAATCCTTTCGCAGCTATCAAAATGACCGTTTCTCCCGGACGATGACTTTCCTTTGGCCGCCCATCACATCTACTTATACGTGTTTCTATATTTTTTTCATTTAATTTATAAGTAACATTTATGTAATGAAAAGGAAAAATATAATGTAATGCATAATATTATATATTGCATGTGTCGAGCTGTATTAATTTAAATTAAAAAGAAGTGTTTTTTTACAGACGCATTACAGTAGAACTTCTATAAATTAATACTCGATAAATTAATAATCACTATAAATTAATAAATTTTGCTGGTCCCAAATCGGGCCAATATAAAAATCTATCAAATTCGATAAAATAATAAGATAATAATTTTTTTGAAACTCCAATGTGAATATATGGTCCCAACAAAAACATAAATTAATAATTATATAAATTTATGCAAATATATATAAATTTAATATTTTAAAATATGACTAATGTGTTTGCTTTTACTTAAAGTTGAAATCTCATTGGATCTTATCTCTCTAATTATTATATCAGTAGTTATTATTGGTGTTTTACGATATACATTCAAAATTTAAGATGATTTTTTATATGCTAATTGATTTTCTTACATAGAAATGTTTTTAAATGTATTGTAGTGTTATCTTCAATTTTATCATCAATAATATTGATAGTAGTCATAGTTTTTTTTATAAATTTTAAACTTATAAACATGTATATTTTTATGTGGACAATCCAATATGGTATTAAATTTATTTTATTGTGAAAGTTATGATTTTTAATCATAATTTATATCACGCGATTTGTTAAAATTATAAAATATAATATTATTTCAAATATATATTTTTAAAATTATAGGCGGAAAACAAATTTTCTCCATAAATTAATAATTATTAATTTATAGATAAATTAATATCACAATAAATTAATAAAATATTATGGTCATAATATTATTAATTTATAGAGGTTTTACTGTATTTCTAAACTGTAAAATTAACATGATATTTTCATGTTTTCGATAATTTTGTATATCATTTCTCAAAGCTATTGACTTTTTTAAAAAATAATTAATACTTGATTTATCGCTTTCTGTGAATGGTAAAGCAAAATATTGGTTAATTAAGACCTAATCGGTCCGTTAATATACTTATAGTAAACAATGACTTGGTGCTTGTCAATGACACAATATGAAACCAAGAAAAGAATAATCAATAGTATTTTTTACAATCGTTTAGCTAGTATTCAACTTATCTAAGTTGAGTAGCTAATATTTGGGTTGATTGGATCATAAGCCATTAAGAGACTTTAAGATATTTGAAAAAAATAAGAAAAAGCAATCTATGTGTTTCACATTGCATTTTTACTTAGTTCATATCAATCAAAACTCAGATGATCCAAAAAAGAATTAGATCAAATTATCACATGGAGTCATGAAAGCATACAAAGATGTTTTTGAGCTGCGGGAATCGCACGTGCCCACATGGCAAGTTCTGACTCTAATTTTGCTAGATTTTACACGTGGCGTTTTTGGAGTGATCGAAGCTTTTGAAAGCACGTGATGCGTGTTCGTATTGCCTATCGATCTAATCCCTTGCGTTCGTGTCCGTACTTCCAGGTAAAATATAAGCACACGGACACTATTTTTATTTTTATTTTCGTTCGCTATTTTAATTTAAACAAACTGTTCAGATATCCAAGAGATAAAAAATGAACATAACAAAACTGAAAAGACTACAAATCTATATGTATTGGATAATATAAAATAAAAACATTAGTGTTGCTGGAGCACTATAGCATAACATGTGCCCCCAGAGAAAGTTAACTATACTTTTCTTATTTTGCTTTCTTAGTTTTAGAATTTCAAATTCGAGAATGAAGAAATAAATATTATATATATATATATGAATGACTTTAATTAGATATACTTGAAAGAACAAAAACAACCATCTGTAAATTTATATCAGACGAAAATAATCAAATAGCGATTAATGAACGAACTCTATAATGGAGTGTAAAGAAAAAAGGTGTAATTTATTATGTGTAAATATAATCATTTAGTGGGATTTGATTACATATCAATTTACACTAAGTTTTTGTTGGATTTTGTATCTTTTTAGTTATGGAAGAGGAAAACATAACTGACCAAGGTTGCTATCTATGCTAGATTTTCTTTCTTAGTATTCTTACTTTTCCAATTTTTAAAACTTTGAACCTTTTATTCTATAATATTTTCGAAGTAGAACAGTAGAACACTCAACCCAAATTAAAAGGTAAAAATATCGTACACCAAAAAGGTATTTTCGAAGTTCACTGGAATAATTAATGCAAACTCATAGGCTTATAATTCCCGAATAAATTGACGATAAGCTAAATATCGCACACCGGTACCGCGGTACGTGTAGTGTTTTAGACTCGACTATTATATCACTCGATTTATTTTGCCTATAACGATTTAAAAAGCGATCATGTATTCATGTGATTATCCTAATAATAAATTATTTGTGTGTATTTTCACAAGTATTTGTGTGTTTTACTGTTGAGGGAAGTGTTTCTAAGCACTCAAATATTGCATCATAAAAAAATTACATAAAAATAAGATTACTTTATACAAATAGTAATATTAGTCAACTACTAATATATGAAATCTGTCTGCGATGATAGATTATAGAAAATTCTTAAAAACACCCGTTGTTTTACAATTAATAATAGCATGGATATTTTATGAAATGCTATATTACTATTATGTGGGTGTGTGAATAAGAAGCCATTAAAATTTATATATATTGACCAAAAAAAAGATGAAATTTATGTACAGTTAAATGATACGGGAAGTGTTCATTGCATAATGATTGCAAAGTAAAAACATTATCCTAGTCTCGTGGAAATGTTTTATTGCACCAACCTATCTCAATCAAAAAATGGTAAAAAAGGTAGGTTTATAATATAACATAAGGAAAGTAGCAATATAAAAATGCATCCATAGTGTTTAGTGTTTCTAACTTCAGATGGTTAAACTTTTTTCATGTTATTATCATATATTTTATTTTATTTTTGTCAAAAGTTATTAT